AAAAGGTTAAATTTCATTCCTTAAGTTTGGAGGTCATGGGTGATCTAATTGCTTGATACAATTGAGAGAACTTGGAAACAATTTTTTAACTTGAAATTGTAGTAGATTGTAGAAGATGAGAAAATTTTCAGCAAGTAAAACTAAGGAAGCTTTGTAGACATTCAAGGTTAGAGTAACATTTTTGCTCTTCAAGATTTATTTGGTGGCAGATATTGTTGAGAAGTGCAATAAATAAATAAAATGGACAGCAAAAAATTAAATTTGCAGACTAAATACTTTCCTTGCACAAAGTTAGACACACTAAAATGGTCACCAACAGTTCATTTTAAGTCGGAGTTTTTTAAAACTTTCAGGGAATAAACTTCTACATTGTGGTTATTTTTCTACTTTATTGCTTTATTGAATCTTCGCTCCATAACCAAATGCCCGCACCTTGCCCTTGACACCACTCATAAGGTTTTGGGCAAAGATGGGGTCGACTTCTTTTGATACTTTTACTCACTGTTTCTTCAAATCCAGCTCGTTCTCCTACACCTTAGGTGTTTCACGTATGACCCAAAACTTCTCAATCGGGCGAAGTTCCGGCGAGTTCGGTGAGTTGACGTTTTTTGGTACAAAAACAACATTGTTGTCTCTGTACCAGTCTAACACCGGCTGCGCGTAGTGGCAGGATGTCAAATCCAGTCAAAACAGCGTCTCGCTTCTTTGAGACCGCAGGAAGACTAAGAGGTGTTTTTGGAGGCACTCGTCCCGGTAGATTTGCCCGTTGATGGTACCCGTCGTGATGTACGGCTGGCTCATCTTGGCGCACCCACAGATGACCTGCCAAACCAAGAACTTTTTGGCGAATTTGTCCACATTCTTTTTCCTTAGCTCCTCAAGAACGGCCAACCGTGATGTGGCAACGTAAAACTCCTGCCCCGGTAACTGCCTTGATGTAAGCCTCATCGTCCATCACGACGTACCTCGGTTTCGTTGCGCGGGTTTTGGCCACCGTGTTTTGTGTGTCGTTCCGGTTCGGTGTCTTCCGGACCTTGTACATGTCGATGCCGGCACTTTTCATCGTTTTTAGACAAACCAGATGGACATATCCGCCTTTTTCACCGCATCGGGGATCGAAAGATTCGACCGACGCTTGAACAGACTCAACACCTTCCTGGCCTACACCGGGTCTTTGGTTTTCTGCTGCAGCCTGGGTCGTCTGGGTCTCTTTGAATTACTTCACATCCCGGGAAATCGTCGAATAATGGATTCCCAGGTGTTTGCCGTTCTATCTGTGGGACGCAGTTGGATTTTCCACGACGGCACACAAGATTTTTTGGTGGATCTGCTCCGATCCCATCGCGATAATCACTAGAGAGATTGTGATGAAATTCTGCCAGCTTAAACAATACACTCTTAGCTAGTTTCAGCCAAAATTTCATAAATATTTACCCACACGCTAAAAAGTTACAATCTAATCAATCTGTCTCACTTTTTTCGAGTACAGTTTTTATGCATCTTAACATAAACAGGCTAAAGTTAGTATCCCATCTTTGATCGCCTAACTGTCCCATATTAAAAGAAAACTATTATTTTAATTTTTTGGATTTGTCCCTTCATGTTTTGTAAATTTTTGAAGGAGCTTGTGGACGGTTTTACGTATAATAAAACTAATAATTGTCATCAGCATAGTTTCATTTTCGGTAGTATTTTTTTTTTTTATTTTTCCTACGGTACTACGGCATTTCATTTTCATTACGGCAACTACGGCGAAGTAATCTTCATTATTCTCAGTACTAATTTAAAATGCATTAGTTACATTAAATGTTTATGAAATAATTTTAGTTTCAACGTACTGGTTGCGTGTACTGCGTGCCTCGAATCTTTATCCAGGATTATTTGCTGAAATTTTTTCGCACAATTTCCCTTCCTTTCCAATTAGTAGTTGAGCACAAAAATAATCGACTACAAGCTAATCAGCCAGAGTGGAACAGATAGATAAAAGATAAGAAAACTATCTTAGAAAGAAGTAAACTCATCCTATAGTTGTATAATCAAATCTTCCTGTCCTCATTATTGAGCAGTAGAGTGGAATATCGAACGTATTCCCAATGCAAAAATTCCATTCATGTGGAAGCGACTGGATGGAAAGGGATTCATAAAGCAAAAACGACGCGGGTAGGTAATATGGCGCCCGCCATCTCCTTTGCTGGGCTTTTTCTGGGCTTGTCATTTCCAATATTCCACCGTGACTATAGGGTTATCCGGGTAATGCTTCCGTATATTTTTTTTGCCAAATTTTAGGGGAATGTATATGGTAAGAAAAAATAACTCCCATTGACACTATCAAATAGACTCAATAAATGCTCCATTTGGCATTCGCCGCACGTTTTGTACCTTCATCCAACGACATGGAATAACAGCCTATTCTTTGCTCTGAAAGCCCTTTGCAGTACATTCCGATTTTTCTCTCATTAGTTTAAGTATTGTTAAACAAAATTTATGCGCGTGCCAGCTTGCCGAAAATCCAATTTCATTTCATGTTCGAAAAATAAATGAGGCAGCAATTTTGCTGTTGCCTTCGTGTTTCGTTTTTTGCATCCCCACATCCGCATATTAGCAATGTATGTTGGTACTTCGAATAATTATCGGCAATCTTTCACTACCTGTCGGGGACTAGGATGTTAGTACCGTAAAACGGGGTGAAGGAGATCACTACACCGTTCAATTTTCGTTTCTCAACAATCAATTTCCATATTTTTTAAAAGTGTTTCCTAACAAACGATGCATTCTACCCCTCTAAATGTTCCTTAAAATTCGATCCTAATCAACATTTTTTCTTAGCGGCGCCGGTGGTGTAGTGGTAAGCGTGATTGTCTCTAACCCCAGCGGGCTTGGGTTAAATCTCTGTCATCGTCGCCGGGATGTTTTGAGGCATTGGTCCCCGGTTCATGAGTTGATGGGTCGATAGGTGGGGTTCAGGTGTGGGAGCTGCCTCCCTGGCGTTGGTAGCATTGGTACTCAGTACGGAAAACAAGATCGACGGAAAACAAATCAAGGAAAAAAATAGTTAAGCAAAAGTTTGTTTCTTTGGAAAACTCGAACAGCTGGTACAATTTGGATCTTTTTCGGCTTAAACGGAAAAGGGACAAATGGTATAAAAAGTTTTGTAGAATGTTTTGTGATGTAAACTGTGAATCTTCACACTCTTAGTTTTTTTTCCTTTGGTTTGTTTTCCGTCGATCTTGTTTTCCGTGCTGAGCACCAATGCTACCGACGCCAGGGAGGCAGGTCCCACACCTGGACCCACCTATCGACCCATCAACTCATGACGCCGCTGAGTCTCTCTTAGCTTGATTCAGTGAAATTTTGAAAAATTTTACTCAAAAATTGACTTATATCAAAAGCAGTTATTTAGTGAACCCGGTTCATGTTAAGAGTGATCCGTTGATCTTCACTCTGCATATTGATTCGAAACTTTTGAACACCCATGTGATTGCCCATCTCTATTCTGCACTCCACAGCATACTCCACGACCGTCCACTCCATGTGGAAGATTAAACATATTACGATGCTGACAGGCAGTTCCACTTTTCGTTTCTTAAAGGCCATTTTGCTGCCTCCACTCATCATGATGTGTTTTCTGGCAGTTTATTTTAAGTTAAACCGGGCTAGGTTGTTGAAATTCACGAGCACCTATATAGCAGCCATCAATCGCACCGCCTTTCATAAATGTTCACTATTATGATACAATTTATTTTATATTCTATCTCGCAAGAGCACAGATGAAATAACTAAGATCTAGCAAGTGATTGATCATTTATTCTCGGCAGCTAAGAATAGAAGAAGATTCAAGATGGAAATAAAATCGATGCATTCGACATCACCCTTGATGTCCTCTGGGTCGTCTGAACTTTGTTCAAACGTCAGCATTGGGCGTTGTCCGCTCCACCGTTTTCATCACCATCATCATAGAGTAGGACAGGTCAAAACGCATCCCCGGGGTAAAATGGCCCCGCGTGTTTTTCCCATTATAAATTCGTGGATTTAACGTGCAGCAGTTAGTTCAGTACTCAAGCTAGCAATGATAAAATGGGAATGCAATCATAAACTGCGTGGGGACATTTTACCCCATGGGTGCATTATGTACTGTTCTCCCGTACTCATCCTATTCGTGAGCTCAACGCTATCAGTGACCGTCAACATAAGCATTATCATTGCTATCAAGCTTATCGTTCCGTTTATATCTGTGTTAGGTTAGATGTGATGTTGGAAGATAAATATGTGAAGAGAGCCGGTATAGCACTGAGATGTTGCGTTATTTTTTTTTGCTTCTGTAATAAAGGCAAAATTATCTAGATCACCTATAAGGTCAAAGCATTTTCAAACATTTCTAAAGAAGGGTATCGTAAGCAGATAAAGTAACTAGATTTAGCTAATAATAACTAATAGATTTAGCTAATAAAACCGATATTTGGTATAATAGACTTATTGCATATTCGATTCTAAAACACGTGCAAGATGATGCTTGTGATTGCATTTTGTTGCAATATACCTAGTTGTTTGTGTCTTTTAAAGTGTAAACAAACCTAGATGAAGCACGTGCACGTACAGAGCTTACCACTCTAACTAAAACCGCTTGCCCTACTCCTTAGTCCATGCATTTTATGGCAACGATGAGTGAAAGCTGACTCTACTTGCTGGTTGACTGGATGGTGGCAGACATAGCTATGTATCCTATACCATTTCGCACTGAGCTGGGAAATTCACTGGAAAATTGCTTTCGTCGCCCCGCCGTTATACGGTTTTCAATGATGATTGATGGGGGTTTCTCGGTATTTTCATTTTGCTTTAAAGTCCACTGGTGTTGTAGAAGGAAAAGCAGACGAATAAAATCAATTTCTGCTGCCGGGACGGTATCCTACATCAGCAGTTTTTGAGACTATAATTTCAATGAAGAAGCATCGTGAATATTCCATACTCATGTGTGGTCCTTGTTTGTTTATTTTTCATTACAGATAGATGTGGGGGTGACATCGAGATGGGCCAGGGGCTCGAACCGCTAACCGCAGATCTTTGTCTGTCCTCCCGGTCGCAGCCCCCCCAGCTTCCGTCTCGTACTGATTTCTTCGAGCAATCGAAGAACGTGTTCAAAGTAGCAGCAAAAAGTATTACCACAGCAGCACCACAGCAACAGAAGCAACTATCAATACTACCACTGCGGAGAATATCCGGCAGACGGACCCACACGACGACGAAGCTAGGCACAACAAATCAGCCCAGACTAGAGCCTTGCCAGCTGACCACGGCTGGCAACTTTCGGCCTCAAGCACAAGATACTCGTTTTACTCTTCTTTCAATGCTACCAGGTAATTGCCAATTCTGAAATCCAATTAACAAACTTTTGCAGGAACATTTTATGTTACTTTTTTCTTCAGATTTTCCTACTAACACCCACATGATGGAGTTTGGTTAGGTCACCTCTAATGCGAATGCTGAAGACTACACAAAATTTAGTGCCTCTTGCGGGAGCGCGCTAATAACATCTTAAGATCAAAAACAGTAACAGTATCTGCTGCAACTTACAAATCAACCAACTGGCTGCAACAACAGCAGAAAACATCAACAGCAACAATTGCCACAGCAATATTACCCGGCAATAGTATCCAGCAATTCGTCACTACCAGCCACAGAGTGTTGCCATTGGTGGCCATGGAGCCTCCTGGTGGGTTGCCACCAGACAAAGATGGAAATAAAATCCTAAAGCAACAGCATAGTTTACAACATCAACACAATCCTCAATCACCTCCACCGACAACAGCAGCAGTAGCATTTCAGCAAAATGCACTGCAACTACAAACGCAACAACCACAGCTACATCTTTCCCAACAACTACAGTTAACTACATCTTTTTCTGCGACAAATCAACAGCAAGTACATCTCTCGCAGGCAAGCTCACTGTCAGCGTCATCCACAAACAACCAGATAGCCGGTGGGGGTGGTAGTGGAACTACAGCGGCCAACGTCCAGACAGGAATCGAGCGGCTATCCCGGCCTATGGCATTCGATAAGGTAAGACTCTTGGATTAATTTAGACAAGCTTCAATTTTGTAATCGGAGGCTTCACCAAGGGATCACCAATAATAGCTTATTTGTAAAGTTGATTCACAAAAAGCAAACGTGATGTACTGAAAGCATAAAATAATAATTATACAATAGAAATTTTTGTCTCGAGTAACGTTACGTAACAAAAATTAGCACAATGTCTGAATACATTCAAACGAATTCTAAAAGGCGTTACTCTGAAAATCTTGAAATTTTATTTCCATGTGTATATTGGAAGTTTTTTTTACATCTTTATTGAGGAGACTTTCAGCCCTGGACTGGTTCGTCTCCCTATATAGAAAGTTGGTGTGTTGGAAAAAGAAAGTCGATGGAAGTTTGTTTCATGAAAGTTTATTGTTTCGAAATTCTGAAACTTATGGTTTTTAGGTGATGGTCATTTTGACGTAGGGTTATGTCTGTTTTTACTATACTGGACGTCACCAAATCGAATATGAGGCATGTAACGAGAAAGGGGAAGTTTTTAAATGCATATTTCTCAAAACCATTAATGGGAAATATATCATGCAATATGTCATTCGATGGAGAATTTAACCAGTAATGTTTTGGTGTAAAGTACAAAGAGAAAATAATTAAACAATTAAGAAATTTACCTAACCAAATAGGAACACTTCGTGAACTAATTAGAAGAGCAGACGGATGGGAAAAATATATATTTTCTCGCATGGTCTTCACTTTCCAGTTCATCTGATCTGATTTGATCGGAGCTCGGTGATAACGCTAGAATAGAGGAAGAGGAAGAGCAATGGAAATGTTCATCCACAAAGGGTATGTAAAATCGCTTTCACCATCATTTCCAGCCCGACAGAGGAGCAAGTTGGAGCTTGGTGATAACAACATACATAGGAGAGAAGAGAGGAAGAATAAAGTAAATCTTCATCCATACACCACGTTTGCCAAATCACTATGACCATCGGTTCTGACAGAAAGTCGCTGGTCAAAACTACGAAGCAATACTACACAGCAACAAAATCTGAATTTTTATTGTGATGTAAACATTAATTCACGTAAACTTGCATTTCATTTAACGCAAAGGAGCAACTTGTAAGCAATGTTATTATTTTATGTATTTATAATGCATATTTTAAGAAATTTTCGCTCTTTTGAGATGTTTACTCAAATTGAATATCTTTTTAAAATATTTTTTTTTATATTTATTGTGTAGCTTAGGTAAAGAAATACCTATTGACACTGTGTATTTGCTGGGCAAATCATAAACAAAAAAGTTATGAATTATTGAAAAATAAATACTGCCGATAGTTATCGAATATCTTTGAAATAGTGTTAATATTAAAACACATTAAATTTACAACAAAAAAGCTCAGAATGCTTAAATTGCTCAAAGTTGTTATTTTCGATATACTCGTAGGTTAAAATTCATTTATCGCATAATTTGAGCAATTTTCGGTCTTTTGAGATGTTATTCGTGAATGTTCAATCTTGAAAATATTTTTAACAAAAAGCTTAATTAATTTCCTTTAACTTTGCTGTTCACAGTTTTTCAATCATACATATGAGTTAAGATATAATTAATTAGCTAAACTAGCCTGCCGTATATTACACACTTAGAAAAATTGATCTTAATTTAGGTGCTCTGAGACTGACATATACGAGCGTCATTTTTGACATAAAATTGAGTCATAATAGACGTGAAATTCAGCTCAATCAAACGTACTTTCAAAATTTTCAGTCTCGGAGCACTTAATTTTACATTACATGTTTGTTAACGTCTCATCCTTTATGTCAAAGATGGATTCCGTCACGTGTAATATTAGGTATTACTAAGTGTGTAGGGCCAAACTGAAAAATACACTTTTCCCATACCGTATCTTACTCATAATTAATAATATCTTAACTCATGCGTACACAGCTAAAAAAAGTAGTGTAAATTTCCGTTACTATGATGCACATAAATGGAGCGTCATATATCATAGAAGTTTAGATTATAGATCGTGTAAATTTATGAGACATGTCATCCAATATTCCATATATTGTATGCAACTGTCCACTTTTGTTTGCAACATTTCTTGCAAGCTGCTAGTTTACGTGAAAAGTAAGTTTACATGTATGAATGTTTACATGCATGCAGTGTTGCACAGCAAAAAAATAATTTTGATATCACGTCAAAGTGGATGCACTACAATTATGTCGAAAATATGGTTGCTTAAAAGGACAACATTATCATTAATACAATGCATGAACTGACATTACGCTGCTTTTACTGCATTTGTTTATTTATGTGGTCTTAAAAATTACATGAAATTTTCGACATGATTGTAGTGCATCCACTTTGATGTGATATCAAAATAATTTTTTTGCTGTGTGGCAAAATCAGAAATCAATTGATATTTTTCCGCTCTCATGCGCTCGCAATATCACGTGTGATATTGGAACAAAATATCATGCTTGATATTGATTTTACAAGCTCCTTTGATATTGCGAGACTATTCACAACGTGCAAAAATCAAGCTGAGAGTTGTCTCGACACAAAAATGATTCCGTTGCACATCGTTTACTTAGAAAGAGAAAGTATAATTTCCTATCTCTTTTTACTTTTCACCGATGGCAGACATGAAGTGACTGCTGCCAGCCGTTATGGAAGTTTCGGTTGCATTCGGGTGTAAAGTAAAAATCATTAAACTCAATCTCACCACAGTTTGTTGAGCTTGTGATCTTGTGCGTTTGTGAGATTTGATTTTTTGATATTTTCCCAACACTGCATGCATGAATGTTTACATCGCCAGTAACATTCAGAATTTTTTGGTGTGTATGATTGAAAAACTGTGAACAACAAAGTTTAAGGAAATTAATTGGGCTTTTTGTTAAAAACATTTTCAAGATTGTACACTCACGAATAATATGAAAATTGCTCAAATTATGCGACAAGTGAATTTTAACCTACGAGTATCTCGAAAATAACAACTTTGGGTAATTTAAAAATTTTGAGCTTTTTTGTTGTAAATTTAATGTGTTTGAATATTAACACTATTTTAAATATATTCGATAACTAGTGGTAGTATTCTGGAAAATACTTATTTTTTCAATAATTCATAACTCTTTTGTTTATGATTTGCTCAGCAAATACACAGTGTCAATAGGTATTTATTTACCTAAGCTACAAAATAAATATAAAAAAAATAATTAAAAAAAAATCTGCATCTGAGTAATTTAAATTTTTTTGATAATTTTGATTTTTTTTTTAAAAAAAATATAATTTTTTATAGTGTAATTTTTTTCTTGAAAGGCACAATACTTGTCCGCAACTTCTTCGAGGACACCATCTCAATCAAACAAATCGTTCGCAAGATATAGGTTTTTCTATTGATGCGTATCATTTTTGCATAAGCCCTTTTCAAGTGTTAGTCGTGTACAAAACTAGGGAGCCAAATATGTAAAATGGCATGTTAGACAATAACGAACAACTGTGCAAAGTTTCAACATAATCGTAGAAGGTCGATCAAAAAATTTAAAAAAAATCGTCATTTGAAATGGAACTGCTGATTTGCAATTTTTCATGAAATGTATCAGAACTTTACACGATTTATAATGTAAACTTATATGATATGTGACGCTCCATTTTATGCATCATATTGAACAGAAATTTACACTACTTATTCTAACTGTGTACGATTTGAAAAAGAAGCGTGAAAACAAGGTCCTTGCTCTCAGGTCATGCGATTTGCTCCGAAAGTGGAAAAAGTCGTGAAGGAAAATTTAACGGGACTTACTCAAATTAGTTTAATTTAGCAATAGTTTCGCAGTTCAGCACAAGCTTTTTGATATTTATCGAACTTACGAAGATGAAAATGTTTTCTATGTAGTTATTCCTCAAGAAATCATTGATAAGGATTGATGAAACATATCCAGAGCTCATTTGCAATTAATATTCGTTAAAAATTTCCTATTAATAGGTCTTTTGAATGTATCTGTGTGCCAGACCGCATTTTCCTTTTTAATTCTATTGTTGCACGCTTTGCATCTAATTAGTGCACACCCATTAAATAGCTAAATGCATGATTTACCGTATGCGTGATAATGTTTGCACCATTGAGCAATGCCAAAATAAAAAAAAAATTCTCAAAAATTTCGTTTCCGAGTTTTTTTTATTTATTCAAAGGGGGATGTTTCTCAGAGTCTTAAGCTATGTTAATCATCGATCGAGTTTCCACTTGCTGCAATTACGGCCTCCACACGCTTCCGGGATGCACGGCAGGTTCTAATAATGTAGTCTGGATCCATTTCTCTCCAGGTATGGTCAATGTTTGTCTGAGGCTTGCTGTACTCGGGTGGCGTTTAGAATAGGCCTTGGCCTTCATGATGCGCTATATTGAGTAATCCAGCGGATTAAGATCGGGGCTGGATGGCGGCCATATATCCTTTGCCCAGAACGGAAGATGTTCCTGCAATCACTTCTGAGTGTGGTTCGAGGTATGGCATGGAGCCCCATCTTGTTGAAATACAACATTTGGCTTCACATCGTAATGTTCTTTGATCCACGGAAGAACATACTTACTTAAAATCCCGATGTAGACCTCCCGTGTTGACCTTGTCGCCTTCTGGAATGAACACCGGGTCCATTTTTTTGCCATCGGAAGCCACCAATCCAAACACCATAACGCTAGCAGGATGATTGGTCAGATACACGTTCTTGAGCTCGTCGGCCACGTCTTTTACCGGAAGAGAACTAATCGACGGATCGACGGTAAACATGCTCTCGTCGGTGAACAGGATTACCGGATTTTTTTCGCTTCAGAAATTTCAAGATTTTCTTGCATAGTTCGACTCGTAGCTCCCGGATGCGGTTGGTAATAATGTGAGTTTTTTTCCGTGCCCTCGACTTCGTCCCGCAATGTTTCTTTACGATCTTCCGTGCCGTAAAGTCACTGATCCCATGTTCCTTTGCCATTTTCCTTATTGAACGCACTGGATTCCCCCGAATCTTCCTTTTG